GGAAGGAAGGAAGGAAGGAAGGAAGGAAGGCAGGCAGGCAGGCAGGCAGGCAGGCAGGCTCCAACAACAATTTATTTAGCTGAACAATCAAAATTTTCAATTTCCAAAGGACCAATTATCATTTAGTGTTTGCTATCCGACAGTTACATTCTTAAGTATCTCGGATGGATGGATGGATGGATGGATGGATGGATGGATGGATGGATGGATCGGACTACACTACTGGTCATCCAAAAAGTAATGCAGGAAAGAGATTTTTCTGTCATGCAAAGTTAAGATTCAGATTTGTTAATCACTGAGAAACCGCTTGCAACATTGACAGTCTTGGTGGTTCCAAATGACAGGATATTTTGGATGGGTTCGCAAACTTGGTTTTTATCCATAAAACTACTCTTAAAAGGTAAGCTATTCTAGTCCTTATTTAAACAAATGAATTTTTGGGGTGATCTTTTCTTGATTTTCTTTTTATGGCTTTTGAGAGATGCAACTCCAAAAGATCCTTAGGAGGCCTTGCTTCAAAAAAAAAACAAAAACTAAACTAAACATTTTTTCCATCAGTAAATGAAGGAGTAGGAAGAGGAGGATACCTGGGACTATGGTCAAGAGCAAGGCGACAATGCTGCTCCCAAGATCGCCCATCCTTCTTTCTCGGCAACAGGCAGGACAACTCTGTCACCAGAAACACCACAAACTGAGAACCCAGCCACAGTCTTCTGGGTGGTTTCATGCTCAGGACTTCCGGGGATCAAAGACCTGCTCAACTTTGCTTTGATCCACCTAGATCAAAGGAGGAACTACCACAAACCCAGAATGTAGAAGCTTTGTCTTAAATAACACTCTGGAGCAAACAAGCCAAAACAGGTTCTGCTGTCTTCTAATTTGAAAAATTCATGGTTCAGAATATATGTGAATAGTTGCACCACTCATGAGAGTAGTGATAATGATTAAATAAGAAATGAGGAAACCTATCAGGGGTGCATCCAATGGGAATCCAAGAGTCTGTTTCATTTCAGCCTCACTGGTCTCTATCAAGGAAAGGGTCTTCTGACAAAAGTGTCCCTTGGGCCATTTGATTTCTCTTCCTACCAGAACTTAGAATTTTAAAACTCACAGGCAATGATTCTCGGTTTCTTCCAGGCATTCCAGCCACGCAGCTTATCCAAAACTGGGGGGTTCCATAAGTGAGAGATTACAAGGCCCATCTGCCAAGTCACTGTAGGCATGTTCTGGGGATGATGGGAATGACAATAGGATTCTTGTTCATGAGGGTTGGGAGCTGTTATTCAATGCTCTGGAGGAAAGGCTGGACCTCCATCGGGGCTTGCAAGAAGGCATCAAGTGGAGCAAATTCCAAAACAGGCTCTGCAAAATCACAGGGCAGGAGAGTTGAGGTCCTTGCAACTAACCCTGCAATGCTATGACACATTTTGGCATCATCCTGGTTTCCCCCAGACACCTGCCTGCTCCAATCTGAAGAAGATGCAATAAAGGAACAAAGATAGGATCTTTGGTCCTCCTCTTCCCCTTCCAGCCATCACTAGTCTGGCTGCATTACATTACCCCAAAATGTCTTTCTCCACCCTTGCTGGGGTTCAGAAATAAATCAGCATCAGGCCTGTGGACTACTTGGGTGGGAGACCACAAGCAGATCCCTCACTTCTGTAGTCTCCTGGAAAGTAAAATAAATATCATGTAAAGAAAGCATTGGCAAATCACTTTGATGATTTAACTATTATCCCACCTTACTCCCTTGACAGGACTGTCAGAAAAGAAATTTAGTAAACCCCCCGTCTCCTCCCCTAGCATCCCAAACTGACAAGCTCAAATTTCTCTGCCTGGAGTATATTTCTCTCCATCCTTGTGGCACCAGATCTTAGGATTATTATTGCTGGTAGTTGTAATAGAACCAAATGCTCCGAAACCAAACTAGGATCTGTTGAACTCTGGGGGAAAACGAGTTGCTACTGCCCTCTTGTGGGAAGAAGCAGACAAGGTTTAGGAGAAAAAGAATTAGATTAACCAGGATATTGGGAAGAATTATGCCGCTCTAAGGCTCATCTTCACGTTCACCCTGAGCACTGTACACACATGCCCTGAAAACCATATTTATGTCATGTCCTCAAGACATTCCCTTCATCCCTTCCCCAGCCCAAAGCAGAGACATTTCCAGGTCCTCTGTAGCTGTTGCAGTTTTAGAGTAGCATTTTCTCTCTGCCAATATTTTGGACATTCCGTGAAAACAGGGTTGATGGGGTCCTGGGTGGGATGAACCCGGCTCCTGTGGGCCGCTTTGGGCTGCAGCATGCTTGCCCCTCCCCTCTTTTAGCTATTAACTATATTAACTAGGGTTGCCCCTGGCTTGAACTGTCTAGGTTTTGTGTTAGAGCTTACCAGAAAGGGGGCACCTTAAAATTGGGGGGGGAGGTAGTGAGGGAGGGAGGGAGGGAGGGAAGGAGGGAAACCTTCAGAGAATTGCTCAGCCTCAGAGGGTTTTTGCACAGGCAGCAAGTGCTTCTGTGCCGCTGTGATCTTCTGTGCTGCAGAAGTAGACAGCGGCATCTTTCATCTGCACCTTTGTGATGTTGAAGTGACTCTGCTTCTTTTGCTTGTCCAAATCGGCACTGAAGCGGTCATGTTTCTTTGATTTCACTGATGTAACCTTTAGGAGAAAAACAGGTGCTTCTCCTGCATATTGCCTGTACCAG